TTTCTTCTTGTACATCAGTGCTCTCGTCTCCATGGCGCCTAGAACCAGGCCGACTCCACAGTAGGCAGTGGCTTTTTGCTAAAATGAGAACATACCCCTGGTTCTAACAAGTGAATGCAGAGAGACCACCGGTCTCTTCAGTGTTGTCTGCTCTAATCACTGCCCCCCTTCAGAGCCGCCAGAGGGATCTTGCTAAACACGAATAGAATCCTCTCACTCCTCCGCCTCTCATCCCCACCCCCGAGACTGCGGAAAATTTGTCCACCTTTTCCAGCTCATCCTGTGGCCTTCCCTCAGTGTCGTTTCCCATTCCCTAGTTACTTGCTTTCATTCACTCAACAAGTCCTTGAGAGGCGCCTGCTACCTGTCAGACCAGGGCCTGTGGGCGTAGTGGGGGTGGGGAAGAGAGACGACTTACAAAGAGGAATTATGATTGTTTCTTCTGGAGCCCTTAGCACACGAGATAATCCTGGTTGCTTGACAATCCTGGCTGTTTGACAAATTCCCTTTCTGCCTTTAAGAGCTACTTCAAAGGTCACCTCCTCTAAGAAGCGTTCTCTTCCTATCATTGGGAGTCCGTTTTTAGTGTTGCCATGGACATTGGTACATATGTCAATTATAACACTTCTTCGCCTTGTGAGTGTTCTGTGCTTTGTCTGGGCTGGGCAGGATAACGTGCGTAGGCCAGGGTAAGCGGAAGCCTATATGCTTCCTAAGTCCAATTTAGCGAGACCTGGCGTAAACATTGTTTCCAACTGTCACAAGGGGATTGGGATCCATTTTCAAGGAAGTTATTACAAACTGAAGATAAAAATGGAGGAGAGCGTTAAAAAGCCGACCCCTTGCCGTGCCACTGCTCTCGCAATGCCGTGACTCGGATTCGAACCGAGGTTGCTGCGGCCACAACGCAGAGTACTAACCACTATACGATCACGGCGCGCTACTGGGGATCCGTGCGTTTTTTTTCTCGCCTAAGCTCTTCTCTGTTTAGGGCCCCGCCCCTTTGCCATGTCACTGCTGGTTCCCGCCCATCTCTAACCTCGCCTCTCCCTGAAGGGACGCAGGCGCACTGCTCGCTTGCTTTCTAGATATCCGTAAGCACTCACCGGGCCGCCGGATCCCACTGCTTCATTACCGAGGCGTGTGTTTTCTGCGAGTACCCCTTACTCCGCATCTCGAAGGAAGTTGTGCGGCTGGGTCCGAACTGATTTTCCTTCTTGTGGGATTTAAGAGGCGGCCCCATTCCTAGCAAGAGCCCGTTCAGATAGCGTGAGCGCCAGGGCACGGTGGGTATGATAGGGGCCCAGCGCCGCCATTCGGGCGACCCCCGGGCCTCACATTCGTACAGGCTGCGTGAGAGTCCCGGACGTAGGCCTGGCCTCCTAGGAGTCCTTTAGTTTGCAGAGGACTTTCATGTCCTCTCTTTCACGGGCCGTGCGGACGACCAGCAGAGACTTCGGCCAGGCGTCCACGGCGCCCCTACTCCACTTCGGGCTGGGCGCCAGGGCCAGAGGGGCCTGGTCGACAGTGAGCGGCTTGGGAAGGCGAGAGCGGCGGCCACCTAGACGAGGACGACACTCAATGATGCGCTCCTCGTGGCGTCCCAGTAGCTCGCCGTGATCGTATAGTGGTTAGTACTCTGCGTTGTGGCCGCAGCAACCTCGGTTCGAATCCGAGTCACGGCATTGTGGGAACAATGGCACGGCAGGGCCGCCTTTTTAGATTCCGGAAGCCACATTCTTCGGCGATTAGGCCCCAGCTGCTGCTTGACGTTAGGTCAGGGCCGAAATTATAACGCGGCAAAGGGTGAACGCGGGGTCTTCAGTGAATCAGCCAATCGTCATCTTCCTTCCTATATGATTGTTTAATTTGGGGGAGGTTATTCCGTGTTGTACTCATTATCTTTCCTCATTTGGCCCCTGTCAATGGTGAAGTCATCTACTGGGTTTTCTAAAAAGCCCTCACACTCGCTAAAACTTCAATACTTTGGAGTGCAGGGATTATAGGAATACTGTGCAAACATTTATTAAGCGTTAGAAGAGTGCAGAGTAGACAATACAGTGTGACGAGTGAAAACTCTGACTGCTCTGGAGGTGCTGGTTCCCGTAGCCACTATGACGGTGCGAAAGAGGACTTTGTGGCCTCCATCTCCACAGCCTCCTGGGTGAGAAGGATATTCTCGTTGAGGATTTTTCCTAACCTGCCTCAGGTTTAGAGCAAATTTTATTTGTTACTTTGTTTTATGAGCACTTTAAAAATCTAGACTCAACAAATTTAGGTCTGTCATTTAGGCATTAGGCAAAAATGGAAATATGTTTTGGATTTGGCTCTCAGGTGGCTGGCAGCGGCTGTATCACTGTCAAGGAGGGAATGAGTTAGGACTCAGTGAGCAATGAGCCTCTCCAGCTTCTCCCAGGGAACCTGGGGGTGGCACAGCAAGTCAGGAAGCATTCCTGGGAGAGATGGACATTGCAGTGGGGTTGTGCTCCGTTTACTGACAGTCTCTCAACAAAGACTTACTGAACAGCCTGTAAAAGCAAGAAACTGTGGAGGGCTGTAATTTTCCAGGGCTCCCCACTCCCACTTCCATAAGTTTGATGACTTTAAAGCCACCCAACAGGACAGCTCAGACTATGAGAGAATAGAATGAAGGAAGCTGAACCTGAGAACTTGCCAGACTTTGGACACTGATTTAAGTGTTATATGTATAGAAAATCAACATCACCAGCAAAAAAAAAACCAGCCAACAGAAATGTGACAACTTCTGTTCCTCTGACTGCTTACCAAATAACCGTACTGAAGTTTTTTAAAATCTGTAGCCTAGAATAAGATGTCAGGGTGGGAAGCAAGGAAAGGATCCAGCTTTTTCTCTGACGGCCCTCCCTCCAACCCCCATTCCTCTCCTGCTGGTGCTTCAGTGCTGGGCAATGAGCTGCTCTCAGAATCTGGGGAGAAATTCTGGGGCAATCACTTCCTAAGAGTATTTTGAGTAAAAACAGTCAACCAAGAAAATAAAAACTACAAACATACATCAATGGAGGTAACCCACTCTAGCCATCCACATCCGTCCAAGGCAACTGAAGTGTATTTGAGGGCAGGAATGCACTAAAGAAATCTGAACAGAAAGTTCCCAGTTGCAGGAAGAGTAACAGAAGGGGAAGGTGCTCTCCTAACTTCTGCTTGGCAGGTATGCAATTATCCATGGAGATGGGTGCATCCAGCTATCAAAATGTCATAATATCCTCTTTTCAGGTCGCTCACTTGATTCCCCTTGCTCTGATTTCAGGCCCCCAAACAGACTTTTGGTAATGATTTGCCAGCCCACGTAGACATTCCTGCAGGGAAAGTATTGCTCTGAACAAGTTTCTGATTAGTTGGCGTTTGTTCTTCTTACTGTTGGCATTTGGTTTAGACTCTTAAGAGTCTGGCTGGTATGATTCATTTCCCTTGCGTCTGCTTATCTCTGGGTGTACTGACAAAATGGAGTTTCCAGGCTGACATAGCTGAGAGCTAGAGACTCTGGCCTGGGATGAGAGACTGCTGCTCTGGGACACCCTCTGAGCAGTCAGTCAGCTCCCTGCCCTTGACCTCTTGATTTAAACCACGTTTTGCAGTTTCTGATTCAGGGAATGTGTCCTTTCCCGTACCCCTTCCAGCTGGAGGTCGGAGCTTTTCTCTAGGGTCTCAGCACCAGGAAAGAGGCAGGCAAACCTTCAAGGGACAAACCTTGAAGGGGAGAAATGTACTTCATAAGCTTCAGAGTGTTTACTTAAATGATCAACCCCATGGCTTGCTGGTCAGACTTGGTACATCTGGGAGCTGCTACTGCTGTAGCTGCCAGTCACCACAAGGGTGCAGTATAGACTGGACCAGCATCCTTTGGTGTCACCCGGAAGCTAGTTCAGATTCAGAATCTTGGTCCACAACCCAGAACTACTGCATCAGAACCTTCATTTTAACAAGATTCTCTCCAGATTATTCATTTGCACCTTAAATTTTGAGGTGCTGGTCTGCTCTAGAGAACTATCTGGCTCTGATGCAGCCCTTCATTATTTACCTTGTGAGTACTTGGGGTTACTAGGAAGGACCTGCCTGAGTCTGCTGGGACTCATCGTCTACTGGGCCTCATTGATGAGGGTGACATTGAGGTTTTTGAGGAGGAGAAGATGGAGTTCTGGGAGGGAGACACCGAGGGCCCATGTTTGGGAGCATCTAGGAAGGAGGCAGCAGCCCTGGACTTCCACTAGGAGGTACTGCACCCCAGGAAGTGGATGTAGAATGCTGAGGCTGGATAAAACTTAGTCTAGAAGATACCACTTTGGATTTAGCCCCTATAACACTGAGCCCATTCCTCAGGGATTCTCTGGATATTAGGACTCAAGTTCCAGTCATTCATTCATTCAGTAAACTAGCATATTTTAGCTCTTAAAGTGCGGTACCTCATGGGGAGCTGCAAAGCTGTATATGATCCTTTTTGCCCAAAATAGTTTATTTTCCAGCTGAAAGAAAATGCTAGTCCACAGGCAACAGTCAGAAAACAACACAAGGAATGCTGTAGAAGAGACATCTCTTGCTGCAGTGGAAGGAAACTCTCCAAGGAAGAGCTAACATAAACTTCCAGAATTGTAAAATAATTGAAGTTTATTTTCAGCGCTTCCAGCACCCTCATTCTGATCCCCTTCTACCTCTTTGTGTTGTCCTTATTCATTCATTCTCGTTCATTTGATCAACAGTATTTACTAACAGCCTACTATGTGTTAGGCACTGTTCTAGGTTCTGGGGTTATAGTAATGAATAAGACAGATGGGTTTTCTCATAGACCTATAGTGCAGGAATCAGAAAGGAATGTTAAATAAAAAATAAAAGAACGTGTGCCAATGGAAAATAACTTGATATAGTGTCCTCCTGTTCCCTGCCTATTATCTACCCATGTACCCCCTCAGCTCCTTTGTCTGTACAAAGTAAGATGACTGATAATAATAAGTGTTACCTTTTAATAGGGATGGAAGTTTTACACTAAAAAGATAAACTCTCACCCAGAGTGGCCCACATGTGTCATAAAGAGCCTTCAGATGTGAGGCAGTCTTGTGTGGACAGCGTGAGGAAGACTCCGTGGTGACCTGCGTGGACCTGCAATATAATCCAATACAAGCAGGTGGATGCTGAGGGCCAATGAGCAGGACCAGATGACCCCATAGGTAGGTCAAGAACTTGCCAAGGGCACAAGGAAAACAAAACATCCACCCAAGAAGTAAGTAAATTTTTTGAATGAATAAAAAGCAGTGAAGTGATCAATTTCAGGAGAAAAAAAAACCCAGAACTTGTTGGGATAAAATAAACTATAAAATAATTATTTAAAAAACTTTCAGTTACATATGAGGCAACATAATTTTTTCAGTGCTTAGGACCTTGGGGAATTTAATCCAGCCCCGTTGACACACTAAATCAGTCCCCTGGATCAGAGATGCAACCCCTAGGGAAAGAAAGGGAGGAGGGGACCCTGAATTAAGGTGTATTTCTGTCACTAGGTCGAACATACTTGGATAGATAATAAATTTGGTAAGCAAAGAAGTAAAATTGCATTTTTTTTGCATTCTTGAGTTTGTCAACTGAGATGTGCACCTCATATATGTGCCAAGTGACTAGCATAGAGGTGCTCAATATACATTTGTTGGTCTCTTGTTCCCAGGTACTTCTCTCTACACCCACAAAAGAAAAAGCCATGGGAAGATCCTATAGGACTATTCCTGTCATGAGGCCTAAAACTCATTCTTGAGTCAAGAAGATTGCAGGAGCCACCTCTCAGAAGCAAAGGTCAAAATCAGTGGTTTCCAAACATTATTCTAGAGCTGATAAAACCGGGATGAATTTTTCATCATGGAATGAGAAAAAATAAGGTTGATGTGGTAGGCTTTTCAAAAGGCTGAATGTGTTTAATTCAAAGAACTATTCTCTAGGCTAAGGTTATGGTCTTCCTACTTTTGAGGTGTTATAGTGACTTTTTAAAAAGTAGATGATAATTTTTTTAAAGTCTTTAAATTTGAAAAAATTAAAAACTGGCAATCCTATTTTGGTCTCCAAAATTACTTTTGAAATTTTACTGGTCAGTGAAATCTAAAAGTATAAAGCTCACTACAGAGCCTGGAGAGCAAAGCATCAGACTGAGAAGAGATGGTCCTCAGTTTGTAGTGGTTCTGCAGAGAAATGCTCAGAGGGAGAAGGGTCCCTGTTCTGTCAGGCAGTGGTCCAGGCTAACCCCTATCCACCCACCTAACAAATAGTAGTCCCTAGTATGATCTGTGCTAGGCCTTGGAGATACAAATTTGAATGAAACATTCTTAGAGATCATGTCAGTGCAGGGTTAATCAGATGAGTGAAGAAGTAATTACAGCTATATACATACAAAGTATATTGGAACTTAAATCATTCATTCCTCCAGGATATGACATTTGAGCTGGGTTCCAAGGCATGCAGAGTAGTTTTCCTGGCAGAGAAGGGGAAAGGGTATTCTAGGCAGAGAGAAAGGCAGAAACAAAGGCCAGGAAGTGTGAACAAACAGCATAGGGAAAGATAAAGCTGTGACATAAGATATGGAGGGGAGAGTGGATGGAGATGTGGACTGAGAGAAAAACACACAATGTAAGTTGTGAATTAATTTTTATCTGAGGACCTTACTGAGGACTATAGCCCAGGAAACAGCCTTTCAGATAGCTCTGAGGAACTGCTCCAAAGAGGTAAGGGAGGAGCCAGGATATATATAAACTTTTTTGCTGGGAAAACGTAGTCAAGCATCAAAAGATTACTGCTAATTACAACAAACAGGTATCTCAAGTTAGCGATTTTAGTGCTTTTCTGTGTCTGGGAAAATACAAGCATCTGAATTCATTTGAAAATTTTTCTTAGATATGCATCTTAACTATCTAAAGGCCAGTGTACCCAAAGCATAGAATGTTTCCTGTTTTTCTTCATCCTGAATTCCCCTAAGGGCACACTGGCAGTGGGCAACTGCAGTAGCTGATCGCCTGATCCTTGTAGAACTGGAAACGGCAGGCAACATTTTTTTTTCTTAATAGAGAGCAAGGGTGGAGCCAAATTGATGAATCTCTTGCCCCTATTGAGACAGGCCTTTGTCCTGGAGGCTGGTGGATCTTGACATTTTGTGGTAACTTATTGCTTTGGGGATCCCTTGAAAGTTATATGCTTGTTCTCCAAAATAGTGCAGCTATGATAGAGTGTCAGGAATTCATAGAGGCTTTTTTTTTTTAATTGAAGCATAGTTGATTTACAATGTTGTGGCAGTCTCTGCTGTCCAGCAGAGTGACTCAGTTACACACATAGAGACATGCTTTTTTTTAATATTCTTTTCCATTATGGTTTATCCCAGGAGATTGGATATAGTTCTATGCACAGAGGCTCTCTTATAAGCATTGTGGGACCATTTAAATCTCCAGTTCTAAGCAGAAGAGGGACGTAATCGCATCTTCCTTTTAGAAAGGTGAGGTGTAAATGGGTAATTATTGACAAAAGTCTTAATTCAAAGGAGAGATAGAAGAGGATCTCAGCCCCCTGGTCTGGTGGTTGACGTTGGGGCTTGGAGACTAATCTAGGGGGAGAGGCTCTTCCCTCACATCACACCCATAGGTGTTTCCTCTTGAGCTCAGAGGTAGAGGGGATGGACATGTTGGATGAAGGGAATGAATGTGAAGCTTGAGAGAAGCTCTAATATCAAGGGTGGAATATTTTCTAGAATTACAGTAGTCAAATAGTATGAAAATAGATGTATCCATGTTATCCTTATGTATATATACTATATTGTTAATATTGAGATGTGGATATGCAAATTCAAATGTAACTTTAAGTTAAGAGGGAGAAACACATGCACAGGTTGCAACAAACTGACTTGACCCTTACTTTTCCCAACTTCCTCATAAATTTCAGAGTCAAAATACTTCTGTGTCATGACTGCTCTTTGGTTCAGTAGCCTCAGACTGAGTCTAGATGAATTCCTTTCTTACCATATCATCAAAGCTACTAAGAACTCCTTTTCCACTTAATTCTCTTTAGATCAAATGCTCTGAGAGAACTTGTTGTGGTTTTAAAATATGTTCACAAATTCTTTGATACTCCTCTCTTCCAGAGGTAGAGCTTTATTTCCCTCCCTGGACTGAGGGCTGGACTCAGTGACTCCTTCAAACAAATAGAATGAAGTAGAAGTGTTGGTGTTTCACTTCCTAGATGAGGTCATAAAGTGCATGTCGCTTCCTTTTTGCTCTCTCTCAGATCACTAGCTCTGAAGGAAGCCAGCCGCCATGTCAAGAGGACACTCAAGCAATCCCATGGAGAGACCCACGAGGTGAGGAACTGAGGCCTTCCTTCTGCCACAACAGTCATCAAAGAAATGAGATTTTTGGCCAATAGCCATGTGAGTGAGCCACCTTGAAAGCAGATCCTCCAGCCTCAGCCAGACCTTCAGATGACTGCAGCCCTGGCTGACATCTTGACTGCAATTTCATGAGAAACCCTGAACCAAAACCACTCATCTAAGTCATTTCCAAATTCCTGAGTTAAGTAACTGTGAGATAACCAATGTTTGTCATTTTAAGCTGCTAAATTTTCGGGTAATTGTTACACTGTGATAGATAATTAATACAGATTTTGTTACCAGAGGTGGGGCGCTGCCATAACAAAAACCCAGAATGTGAAAGTGGCTTTAGAACTCGGCAGACACTGGAAAAACTTTGAGGAGAGTGTTAGTATAAGTCCAAATAGCCTTGAAGAGACTAGCTTCCTCAGTTTCCCCATCTGTAAAATGAAGGAGTTGGGCTGGATGAATACCTAAATATTTTATAATTCTCTTAATCTTTATCTAATCAAGGTTCTATAAATAATATTACCCTAAACAAAGTAGTTATAGGAGACAGCTAATAACTGACCCAAGGCATAATTCCCCAAGGCATAGCTCCACAACAGAGACAAGAGGCCCTGCACCTGACTTTTGTGCTCTCTGTAAACCTAGTTTCAGCCTGGTTTAATCTCAGGAAACTGAAGCTGGCTCTACCTTTAACAGGTTGCTTCAACAGCTCACAACCACGTGCCCCAAAAGGAGTAGGGGTTTCTGATTCTTTAACAAAGGCTGGTCCTTTGTTAAAGATGAAGGTTCTTTATATTCGTTCTTCACCTCAATGATTTAACTAAAAGGTCCAGAATAAAATTGTTTTTCTTCTTACCACTGAATTTTACAAATCTCTGTCCTTGTATATATTGCTAGTGTCATCCTGTCACTGGATGGGACACCTTCAGGGGCCCAAGAGTGGGCTCTTGTCCAACACTCAGAAATGAATTGTCCGAGGAGACACATGTACTGACAAAGCAAGAGATTTTATTGAAAAGGGGCGCTCAAGTGGAGAGCAGCAGGGTAAGGGAACCCAGGAGAACTGCTCTGCCTTGTGACTTGCAGTCTCAGGTTTTATGGTGGCGGGGTTAGCTTTCCACGTCGTTTCTGGCCAATCATCTTGCTTGTGCCTTCATTTGGACCGGCTCAGGGCCCTTCCTGGTGATGCGTGCATCTCTCAGTCACAATGGTTTTCATCGTGAGGGTTTCTGGGAGGTTGGCGAGACATATTATGGACTCATGTCTCCTCCCCTTCTTGGCCCCTCGTGGGTTTTCCCTGGGTTGATTTTGGACCCTTCACTGGTTGTGTGTTCTTTTCAAGCATCCTGAGGTGGGAGACTTAAGCAAATCTTTTATTGTTGTGCCTGGCCAGGGTGGGCAGTTTCCTTAACAATACTATCATTAATTTGCTTGGGTCTCAGAAGGCCTTAGTACAGATTTCATGACTCTTGAAAAGAAAATTGTTGGAATGCTTTATTTATATATAAACCATATTCATAAGTTATTCAGATATATATGAATGGCTATTTTGGCAGGGCAAACCCCAGCAATTTTTAGTGGGCCCTAAAGAAGCAATTGTTGGGTCTGTGCTGAGCAATTTAGGGGCCTGCTTTCCTGGAAACCAGCAAGGCAATGAAGGCTCAGCCACTAGACAACAGAGTATCTTTTTTTTTTTTTTTAACATCACATTTTTTTTTAATTCAAACAGAAAGTCACAATAATTATAATCATCCTCATCAGTTCACTGTCCCATGTAATTAATTTATTTTTCATCTTGATCTTTTGTTAGCACTTTTATGAATTCATCAGTTTTCCATTAGAGTTCTGAAAATGCTTATTCATTCAGTTCAGCAGTATAATCAGTTACCAGAAACCTGTACTTGTCAGAGTCTTTTCCATGAATTCCTTGAAGATGAAACCCTTTTATAGGAACATTTTTGCAAAAGCATCAGAGTACACCCAGAACTGTCTGTAAATGACAAAAGACTTAAAAATGACCACGGTTAAAGATTCGATGAAAGTTCATAATAATGCAATTGACAAGGAAATTTAGTTATTTCTGAGATATACATTTTAAAGTAATAACTAAAATTATGAATTATAACATTATACCAAAACATATAAGATTTTTAGGAATTTCATGCAATGTCTGAAACCTTTATATTAACATATTTCCATACAAATAACACAAAGAAAGTTTAGTATTAGTTGTTTTTTTATTTTTGAATTTTATTTTTTTTTTTATACAGCAGGTTCTTATTAGTCATCAATTTTATACACATCAGTGTATACATATCAATCCCAATCGCCCAATTCATCACACCACCACCACCACCACCCCGCCGCTTTCCCCGCTTGGTGTCCATACGTTTGTTCTCTACATCTGTGTCTCAATTACTGCCCTGCAAACCGGTTTATCTGTACCATTTTTCTAGGTTCTACATATATGCGTTAATATACGATATTTGTTTTTCTCTTTCTGACTGACTTCACTCTGTATGACAGTCTCTAGATCCATGCATGTCTCAACAAATGACCCAATTTCGTTCCTTTTTATGGCTGAGTAATATTCCATTGTATATATGTACCACATTTTCTTTATCCATTCGTCTGTCGATGGGCATCTAGGTTGCTTCCATGACCTGGCTATTGTAAATAGTGCTGCAATGAACATTGGGGTGCATGTGTCTCTCTGGGTATATGCCCAGTAGTGGGATTGCTGGATCATATGGTAATTCTGTTTTTAGTTTTTTAAGCGACCTCCATACTGTTCTCATTAGAGGCTGTATCAATTTACATTCCCACCAACAGTGCAAGAGGGTTCCTTTTTTTCCACACCCTCTCCAGCATTTGTTGTTTGTAGATTTTCTGATGATGCCCATTCTAACAGGTGTGAGGTGATACCTCATTGTAGTTTTGATTTGCATTTCTGTAATAATTCATGATGTTGAGCAGCTTTTCATGTGCTTCTTGGCCATCTGTATGTCTTCTTTGGAGAAATGCCTATATAGGTCTTCTGCCCATTTTTGGATTGGGTTGTTTGTTTCTTTAATATTGAGCTGCATGAGCTGTTTATATATTTTGGAGATTAATCCTTTGTCCATTGATTCATTTGCAAATATTTTCTCCCATTCTGAGGGTTGTCTTTTCATCTTGTTTATGGTTTCCTTTGCTGTGCAAAAGCTTTGAAGTTTCATTAGGTCCCATTTGTTTATTTTTGTTTTTATTTCCATTACTCTAGGGGGTGGATCAAAAAAGATCTTGCTGTAATATATGTCAAAGAGTGTTCTTCCTATGTTTTCCTCTAAGAGTTTTCTAGTGTCTGGTCTTACATTTAGGTCTCAAATCCATTTTGAGTTTATTTTTGTATATGGTGTTAGGGAATGTTCTAATTTCATTCTTTTACATGTAGCTGTCCAGTTTTCCCAGTACCACTTATTGAAGAGACTGTCTTTTCTTTATTGTATATCCTTGCCCCCTTTGTCATAGATTAGTTGACCATAGGTGCGTGGGTTTATCTCTGGGCTTTCTTTTTTTTTTTGCGGTATGTGGGCCTCTCACTGTTGTGGCCTCTCCCGCTGCGGAGCACAGGCTCCAGACGCGCAGGCTCAACAGCTATGGCTCACGGTCCCAGCCGCTCCACGGCATGTGGAATCTTCCCGGACCAGGGCACGAACCCGTGTCCCCTGCATCGGCAGGCGGACTCTCAACCACTGTGCCACCAGGGAAGCCCAAGGGCTTTCTATCTTGTTACATTGATCTATGTTTCTGTTTTTGTGCCAGTATCATATTGTCTTGATTACTGTAGCTTTGTAGTATAGTCTGAAGTCAGGGAGTCTGATTCCTCCAGCTCTGTTTTGTTCCCTCAAGACTGCTTTGGCTATTCCGGGTCCTTTGTGTCTCCATACAAATTTTAAGATTTTTTTGTTCTAGTTCCGTAAAAAATGCCGTTTGTAATTTTATAGGGATTGCATTGAATCTGTAGATTGCTTTGGGTAGTATAATCATTTTCACGATATTGATTCTTCCAATTCAAGAACATGGTATATCTCTCCATCTGTTGGTATCATCTTTAATTTCTTTCATCAGTGTCTTATAGTTTTCTGCATACAGGTGTTTTGTCTCCCTAGGTAGGTTTATTCCTAGGTTTTTTGTTTGTTTTTTTTGTTTTTTTGTGGTACACGGGCCTCTCACTGTTGTGGCCTCTTCCATTGTGGAGCACAGGCTCCGGACGTGCAGGCTCAGCGGTCATGGCTCACGGCCCCAGCCGCTCCGCGGCATGTGGGATCTTCCCAGACCGGGGCACGAACCCCTGTCCCCTGCATCGGCAGGTGGACTCTCAACCACTGCGCCACCAGGGAAGCCCTATTTCTAGGTATTTTATTCTTTTTGTTGCAATGGTAAATGGGAGTGTTTCCTTAATTTCTCTTTCAGATTTTTCATCATTAGTGTATAGGAATGCAAGAGATTTCTGTGCATTAATTTTGTATCCTGCAACTTTACCAAATTCATTGATTAGCTCTAGTAGTTTTCTGGTGGCATTTTTAGGATTCTCTATGTATAGTATCATGTCATCTGCAAACAGTGACAACTTTACTTCTTCTTTTCCAATTTGTATTCCTTTTATATCTTTTTCTTCTCTGATTGCTGTGGCTAGGACTTCCAAAACTATGTTGAATAATAGTGGTGAGAGTGGACATCCTTGTCTTGTTCCTGATCTTAGAGGAAATGTTTTCAGTTTTTCACCATTGAGAATGATGTTTGCTGTGGGTTTGTCTTATATGGCCTTTATTATGTTGAGGTAGTTTCCCTCTATGCCCACTTTCTGGAGAGTTTTTATCATAAAAGGGTGTTGAATTTTGTCAAAAGCTTTTTATGCATCTATTGAGATGATCATATGGTTTTTCTTCTTCAGTTTGTTAATATGGTGTATCACATTGATTGATTTGCATATATTGAAGAATCCTTGCATCCCTGGGATAAATCCCACTTGATGGTGTATGATCCTTTTAATGTGTTGCTGGATTCTGTTTGCTAGTATTTTGTTGAGGATTTTTGCATCTATATTCATCAGTGATATTGGTCTGTAATTTTCTTTTTTTGTAGTATCTTTGTCTGGTTTTGGTATCAGGGTGATGGTGGCCTCATAGAATGAGTTTGGGAGTGTTCCT